GGAATGGAATGGACTGGAACCTAGTCTAACCTTTGGAGTCCGATATCTCTGGAACGTTAAATAGGTACACTCTGACATATCTCTAATCAGCTTGATAAGACTTTTCGTTTGGTACCTACTTTGTGACCAAAATGAAATACGAAAAAAATGGGGCTATTCGCCTATGGACACTTGTTCTCACTCTTTTAATATAATTAATATGGATTTTTATTAGAATAGATAACTATAGTATTATAATATTATAATTATAATATACTGTAATTATTTTATATTTCTTACAAACTTTATTTATATTAATTGGATCTAAAAAAAATGAAAAGTATTATTAGTAGTACTGAGTTTGAAATTTGTTAGAAATTATTTGAAAATATTATATAATATATTACGTATCATATGTACTTCCTACTAATTTATATATTGTAATTGATTCTTCTAAATTTTAATGACTGTTATGACTATTAACTCAAAACTTTTTCATTTTTGATTGAGAAAAAATGCTTTAGACAAAAGTTGTTTGGTTTGAAGGAAAACACATAATTTCAATGTAAGTCATGTTGTAGATGTCGTTCAGAGAATTATTTACTCAAAGAATTTTAAAGACAACTAATTTCTTAAATTAAACTTGATTATTTTCTTAAGATAAAAGTTGTAGGTCTCGTCGATACGAATTTAAAACACTGTAATACAGTTTTTTTTATTGTACTTTCTGAGTTATGAGACTCAAAGTTTACAGTACCTACCATCAGTATTACCTAAGGTGTATCATATGGAGGTTGTTCTGTTGGATTTACACCTCTGTTGTGTTTGTATGTACACAGACACAATAGACATGTATATTTGACTATGTAACGTTTACACCATACATCTTGGATAATGATAATTATCCGGGAGAATTTGAATATTAATTTTAATTGTTTGAATATTAATACATAATATATATTAGTAAAATAAAAGTTAAACTTATAAAAATAAAACAAAACCAAACAATAGTATTGAACTATAAAACTTATTTTTTTCCTACATGTTCCATACTGCGCTAATTAATGTACTCTTTATAAGTGCCCTAAGTGGTTTTAAAACTTTTAAAACTTACGTAACACATTACGGAACGCTTAAAATTTTTTTAATATTAAGACTCATTGAATAAAACACTTAAACACATATGTCAATTTATCTTTTTATGTATATTTCAAAGAAATAAAAGTCAAAATTGATGGTTAATTAATGCATTATGATCTGTAAGTTACTAAATAATAGTAAATAATGATAAATAATATAATTAAATACTATTAAATAAATTAACTTTTTATATCTACCTGCAGACATAAAAAATGGTATTCTGAATTTCCCTGAGACAACCACAGATCGTAATAACTGCATTGTAGGTCCATCAAATGGTAGAGCGCCACAAACTAATACATATAAGACAACGCCAAGACTCTGAAATATTATATATTGCATTTTATAGATTATATTTGACAGTATAGTAACATAAGTACAATAAGGTACATTAATAATCCATATATCTTTTTGTGATCCATAATGTTTTCATAAGTATAAAAAGTATAAATTTATATATACTAATTTTAAGTTCCTGATGCATATATCTTTGAATACGAGTATATATATATTCTTTGCACATATTTAAATATATCCAAATATATCATCACAATCAAAATATAATATAGTCACAATTTTGTTCCAAATACACGTACAAATAATACAAAAACAATGAGAACGGCCATTTTTACATGATTGATCTATGACTGTAATTTATTACATTGTGGACAGCAGTGATCATAAAACTAAAGATACGTTTCGATTATAAGCTTGATCTGTGGGCTCAAATCCTTCCGAGACTTGAGGAATTTTCTAAAGTTCTTTAAGAAAGAGTTTGAACATTGCATAGATAATTTTTAATTTTTAATTACATTATTAATAAGCTTTATTTAGTAACCAACATAAAGTTATATTTATACAATTATACGTTTTAGAATAAAAGAAATATATAAGTAGTAACATACCCATACGTCAGCTCTTGGACCATCGTAATGTTTTCCTTCAAAAATTTCTGGTGCAGCATATGGTGGTGATCCACACCACGTACTAAGTGGAACACCAGGTGTATATTCATTACTAAAGCCAAAATCAGCAAGTTTTATATTATTGTCTGCATCAAGTAACAAGTTTTCAGCCTAAAAAAGAAGAAGCTAAAGCTAATTATATATAAATATGCATACATATACATATATAATATTATACATACAATTTATAATAAATTTCATTAAATTAAGATTGTAGGACATTTAATTTCGATATAACACAACAGCTAGACCTTAAGATCTCGATGAACTACTCTTTGTTGATGCAGATAATGAACGGCAAGTACAATCTGACGGAAAATTCTTCGTGCTTCTGGTTCTGGCATTCTACCATTTCGAACAAGATGATCAAATATTTCACCTCCAGGAGCATATTCTGTCACTAAATATATCATTTTCTCCGTTTCCATTACTTGGTACAGTCTTATAATATGTGGATGTCGTAACCTCTTCATTATGTGTACTTCACGAAAAATTTTTGCTAAGTTTTCTTCATTTAGTTTTGTTTTGTCTATTATCTTTATAGCAACCTATAACAATATAAACACAATATCAATATAACTTAATGTTCTAAAGATAAGTGTAGCATTCAAAAGTTCTTCATCAAAAAAGTATTTGTTTGATTTTTGAAAACAGGATTTAAAAAAGACACTAGTAACATTAAAAACACAAATTTATGATAAAAATGAGTGAGATAAAAGAAAATAATGTGAACAAATTTGTTTAAATCTTATATATATTTACTATATTTAACAAATTGCACGTTTAAAATTCTCCCATCATTTTGTTATATGTATAAGAAAAACAAGTAATGTAATTTATAATATTATACAATACAGTTAGGATCTTTTAGATTATATTTTTATTATTAATACTTGATAGTCACATCTTTCACAGCAATAATGGTAACGAAATGTAAACCCAATTAAATATGTAATACAATTAAAACAAGCTTTATCACAATATTTCATTAATTTTTAAATAAAATTCAGCCTTATTTGATATATTTATATTTATTCAAATGGATCCAACACTTTGTTTTTTTCCATGCTCAATCGGATCAAAGTCCAAAGATTGAGATAACTGGTTCAAAATTTTTACGTTCTCATGGGACAATCATTCTTTGACTAATTTTGATGTATAACTTAAAAAAAAAGTAACAAAAAACGCCAAGTATATGCGTGCAAATCGAATAAGAACTGTATGATTTAAGTAGTTGGAAATATTTTGTTACAAAAAAACATTTCTATCTTTCATACAAAAATATCTTCTCTACAAGAGAAATAATTTCAATCTTCTCTGCAAAATTATCTTCTTTACAAAAGTATCGTCTTTGCAAAAGTATCTTCTCTACAAAAGTAGTGATATCAACAAATTGTGCCAAATATGACAATAGATATTTATCTAACTGATTGTTTTATTAGATTGTGACATTAAAATATTGATATCTTAAAAAATTGAAATAAAGATTTCGTAACTTCAAGTTTTCATGTTTCTTATAACATTATTACAAATTTTGTTACAAATTTTATAGTAAAAAATACAATCTAATTAATGTTTTGCGATATAATATTACTCGCTTTTGTTCCATCTTTGACTGAATTAATTTTTAAATTATAATTATTGAAGCATAACTGATAACGATTTCATAACGTGGCAAATAAGAACTTTATTTATTTTATTTTAATGCACCAATTTTTCCTTAGTTTGGCGTTATTATAATAATACTTTTCAATTTCTATGAGGAAAAATATAATATAATACATAAGCAAACATAGAAATACGACGACCCCCAAGCGGTAACAAAACCCGCTAAAAGTTGTACCTTCTTTTATATATCCTCAACGATCGGTTTAAATGTAATGTAAAACGTGATTTTTAGTACACAACCGAGTACACAACTTATTCGCCGTGCAACCAAAGCAACGATGTTTTTTCAATTATTTTTAATTATTTATTTAAGCGACGCGCGGTTTGTCGCCGCTAATGGTCATAATTGCGCGCGAGCTGGTAATTTTGCTTACAGTAAATCGCGCCCATTTTTATATTTACCTTTAACGCTTTATACTTTTGTAATGTACACGACACTTATTAATAATTTCGATACGCATGGTATTAATAATTATTGTATCAATCACTCTAGCATTTGTAAATCTGCACATTTGTTGCGACTCACTTAATCATATCGCGAACGCAATCAGTTATGCACATTAAAGCGCTTTCGACATGTACCTACTCGCGGTAAGCTCAGTAAACCGCGGTGCGACGGCATCGCGCCAACGCCGATCAGCTGATCGGGCTCTTATCCTGCGTGGTGCGCTTCCGAATGTCAAAATTTTAAGAAAACGCCGAGAGACACTTTATTTAAATTTGGCGTCCATACATGTGGTACTAAGAACAATTTTCTAGTACCGATGATACATTTTTAAATCTACCAGAAGCATACGTATAAATAATAATATTAAGTTTTTAATGAAAAAAATTGTACGCCACTGTTTCTTTTTCAAATCTGATAATTTTTTGAAATCCTAAACTAAAACTCAACTGTCTCTTATGTTTCTTTTATGCACTTAGCCGTTTTCAACAGAATAAACGTTAATTAGATAATTTTCTTAATTTATTCGCTACGTGGAATAAAAATAATCATTGTTAGTTATTATTTTCTCTGTAGTACAAATAATAAATAAATAATTTAATGAACCACAGCTAAGAGCAAATTTTTAGAATTGTTTAAACTACGCGAGAACTGTTTTGGAACAGTCAGAACCCTGAAATTTCGACCAGCGTCTCACCTTGGTCCATATTTAAGATCTATTCCTCGAGTAGTAAGTTATTTAAAAATTGAAAAACCACCAGTTTTGTTTCGCCAGAACTCTTACTAGAACTATCGTAGAACTCCCGGGCGCTTGAAATCTGACAAGAAGCCGTCGAGAAATCGACGGAGGACAAAGTGAGGCGCTGAGCGAAGTTAGCGTCTCACTTTGCACCAAGCGATTTTTTCGCTTTAAGGGCCAGAATTATTTGCTTAATCTATCGGGAACTCTAGAACTATTCAAAAAGAAGCCAGAACTCTCAATAGTTAATGAGTTTCCACGACATGAGACGCCGGCTTAACGTATACGTCAAATTGTTATGCATTAAAAATCATTCACTATCACAGAAGCAATTTTTAAGTACAGCAATAGCAATTTTTAAGTACAGCAATAGCAATAGCATAAAGTATAGCAATAGCAATAGCATAATTACTCTTTATTACATCCATATGACATCTATGCTAATGGATGCCCAATGGAAGTAGCAAATGCGGAACCGTGTATGTCTATTAGAGATCCATAAGATTTTACGTGGGCGTCTAATGGAGGTTTTGCGTCTCCACGATGGACGTCTATTGAACATCCATTGGAGGTTTTTGTTCTGTGCGTAGCTGTTTATGCAGTAAACATTACATGTTTCAGTGGTCAAATTGTCGAGACGCCCCGAGATATCGTTCGCAATAAGCTTCTTTTAATTAAATTATAGCCAGTTGCGCCAAGTAATGTTAATTTTCTGCTTATTTATTCACCAGCGAAGATTATTACTTGTGTTTAATAGACTGTAACGTACAGCTTACATTTCAAATGTCGATTAATTAAACTTGAATTTTTAGGATATAAATGTTTAGCGGTGTCTGTTGTTAGCACGTGAGCTGGTCGTTTATTAATTTATCAAACATATATAATTTCACTGAAAAGTACATAGAGATTGCTTTACCCTCCAACTAAGCATATGCGTGTATGGAATACCAGTAAATTGTCACTTTTAATATTCATACCATTATAAAAGCAAACATATGAACACGTTGAGTAATATAGAAATAAACTACAATATTAAGTAAAATTTAATACCTTCCAATATAATTAATTCAGTGTATATAATAATCGTATAACCTTACTATTGGACTGTACGTCTGTACGTCGTGTATGTGGGTGAGTGTCAGTGTATGCAGTGTGTAGTCACCTATTTCCTTTTTCTTCTCTTTTTTTTCTCGTTGATGCCACATCTTGATTAAAAAAAGATACGAGCTCGTATATACAAATTAAAAATTATCAAGCCACGAGCCACTTTTTTAATTACAAGGAAAAGAACTGTTTCTGCCACTAATGTGTTTACTGTTGTGCAGCCTGGAGCACCTGATACATAAATGTAAATATCGAAATTTGTGAAATTTACACGAATTACGTATTTGAAATACGGCAACAGTGGCACCTTCCTCAACAACGATAAGTGTAGTGTTTTTTTCAATATTAATCAGTTAAATGTAGCTATAAAACCCAACTGTATTGGAGCAATTGTACGTCGCGACTAAATACTAAGAATATAAAACCAAAGAAGTTATTCACACAGATATTCCGAAGATATTAACGACAAAATGACGGATTTCATGTTTGCGACTACAAAGTACATACAGATAAAAGGTTGCCGCCGAGTCTTTTACCTTGGATTTCGTTACGACGTGGGTGGCCATTTTAACCACGGCAAAATTTCCTTTACCGATAGTTTTTTCCAGCTCGTAATAACCGACACGGATGAGTTTGTTGACAGAAAATTCCTGGGAAACCTCATTGTGCGACGTCGGCGCGGATGCCATTTTTTGATCACTTCTCTCGTGCTTGACTCGTTGCCAATTGCAATACTGTTTAGTACAAAATGACGTCGACAGAGGAATTATGATCGTTTCTCAATACCGCCATCTAGCGACGGTAAATAAAAGATGAAAATGTCACTCCTGCCCACCTATTAT